TTTGCTCAATCAAATTTTGGAGTGTGACACTGCCTTCAATGGGTTCCCCCGAAACAGTGACAGAAAGCATGCAGTCAAAGTCCTCTAATTTCCCTTTAACTGATGTGCCACCAGGGAAAAAAAGTGTCTTTCCTCTTTCCAGAATAGTGGATACCCTCTCATCTTTATTTACAATAATTTCTCGTGTTCCACCCCCAGTAGCCCTTCTTACTTGTTTATACGCAGTGTCTTGGTAGTTCAACCAGCTAAGTTCAACTTTCCTTGTCTTTTTTACAGCATTCGTGTTTCCATGTTGCGCAAGCCTTGATTGACTGCTGGTGGTTGCAGTGAAGATGACAGATCATCTTCTCTCTTAAGCTATTGATTAAGTTTCTTTTCCTTTGCTCTGTATCCTCTGATTCGCTTGAGGATAACTCCTTCCAGTTTTTGGCAAAAACACGGTCTCCAAATCTTGAAATATACATAGAGAGCTTATCTTCTTCAAGGAACTTCACAACATCTTGATCAATCTAAAACACAAAAAAGGTTTAATGTAAGATAATGTTTCATTATTCTTTGCACATGTTCCTGTTGCACTGAAATCTCAGTTGTGTGTGTGAGAGCGTTTCAGTAGTGTGTGTGAGAGCACAACATTGCAGTAGTGTGTGTGAAAGGTGATGAAGAAAGTCATTTTCTTTCTTTCGATGGTCAAAGACCCCCGAATTCATTCCCTGTTGCCATGTGTTTTCCCATCACCCTTTGTCATGTGTTTTTCTACCTCCTGGCACAGACCCCCGATTCCACCCCCTGTTGTTCATTGTCCCCTTACCTCCTGCCATTTGATTAGCAAATGTATGCTATCAGAACCCCGACTCCACCACCCGTCTGGTCACCAGACTCCCATTTCATCACCTGTGATTCATTGTCCCCCCTTACCTCCGGTCATTTGATTAGCAACTGTATGTTAATTTACCTCTATTCACCTCTGTATTCACATACAGCCCCCCCCTACCCTCTGACTTACAGTATAAATGTGTGACTCTGCAGATGTTCAGGGTCGGTCCACCTTCACAGACTCATGCTCTGTGTTGGTGAGCCCACCGTATACCGGAATACTAATAAACACCCACTACAACAACCTTCACATGAGGACTATGAGTAAAATTTCTTCAATAAAGGTATTTCTGAATAATCATATCAGCATGCAGGGCCAGCTCTTGGTATAGGCGATATAGGCGGTTGCCTAGGGCGCCATCTGCTGGAGGGGCGCCGCCGCGCCGCCAGTCCCCCTTGGCCTCGAGGGAAAATAATAACAAAATAATAATTTTCTAGGGCTGCAGGGTGGCGCAGTTGGTAGCACTGTGGCCTCGCAGCAAGAAGGTTGCCGGTTCGCGTCCCGGTGGGGGGCACCGGAATCTTTCTGCATGGAGTTTGCAACGTGGGTTCTCTCCGGGTTCTCCAGCTTCCTCCCACACAGTCCAAAAACATGTTGAGGCTAATTGTTGATTCTAAATTGTCCGTAGGTGTGAATGTGATTGTGCTTGGTTGTCTGTCTCTAAGTGTGGCCCTGTGATAGACTGGTGACCTGTCCAGGGTGTCCCCTGCCTTCGCCCTAAGTCGGCTGGGATAGGCTCCAGTCCCCTGCGACCCCTAGTGAGGATTAAGTGGTGTATAGATGATGGATGGATTGATGCACATTAATGTGTGGCTCCTTACTTCTGCAAATTGCACAAACAGCACCAGTGCAGGCTGAACTACAGCTGCTCTCATTTTCTCATCAGTCAGTCTTGAAAAATTAAGGTCAAAATATTTAAAATTGGGCCTCTTATCCACACCCACTCCAACACTACCACCACCACCACAACTGGGCCTTGGGATCTTCTGTGCCCATTGATGCCCCCAACGTAGGACTTGAGCATGAGATTACAGACTGTTAAAAAAAAAAAAGATTTTGTGTCAAATGACTTAAAACTCTAACAGTCCCTCTGTCAATGGGTTAACTCTACTCACGTTATACGTGTATTACTGTTTATATGCATTGCAACGACACAATTTAGAAAGACTCTCAAATGACATTTAATTAGAAAACACGAACAAGTAGATCCTTGGTCCCAACATGCCTCAAGTTAAATTAAGAACTTGACAACACTTATTTAAGTTGAACTTTGCACTGACATCCCCTGAAATTATGAGGACTCTTAAATTCACATCTGCTTTCAACAAGAACAACCTACAGTATTCTTAAGGACCCCCTCCTCTATGACCAAAACTCTTTCACAATATCCAAGGCAAAAATCATGAGAAAAAAAACAAAAGAAAACAAAACTGCATTATCAAGTAACTTCAAGTTAAGTTATGAGAAGGCTTGCAAACAGGCAGACACTTCAAGTGAGGTATCAGATTTGCCTCCCATGACCCACTTGGCATTTACAAGTCGAACTGTAAATATGAAAGAAGGGCACAACTGAAGATGGAGTCTGCAATTCTAAAGAAAGCTTTTTGATATTCATCAAGTAAGTATATGCAGATAGTTAGCATGTACCAGATTTACAGTTCCTCTTGTTGGAACAATGTTGAATAGGCTGGTCCAAGCCTCTCTCTGTGTGCCAGCCCTTAACCATGAGGAGATATTTTCTGAATTTGACAAAAGGTACATTGGTTTACAACAGCATACTCCACCTGTATTTGCTTGTGTGCCAACATCAGCAAAACCCATCAACAAGATGAACTTTCTACTTTGATTTGTCATTCAAATTAGACTTCTTAAGACAGATTAGAATTCTTCATCTTCTAATAATTTAAAAATCACAACTGAAAAGATGTGAAGTACCTTCAGCCCACATTGGCCATTCTTTTTAAAACAACCTGGGTGCAACTTGGCACTTTATAACTCTGTGGGGTCTTTTTAAACACCATGTATCATTTCATGTAACATAACTGCTGCAGGTTTTATGTATTAAGAGATCTAATGCAGCAGCATTAGGAAAAAAAAGGCCCCACAGAGATAGGAGAAGAAAAACATGTTGTGGCATCAGCAAAAAACAATTTAAACATTAGCTGGAGTGAACTACAATTAATCGGCTTAAACCTGCCTGGCAACTCTCAATTCACATCTTTCTGTCACATTTTCAAGATTGTTTTTAAATTTCTAAAAAGTAGCCCTTGAAAGGGTAAAACAGCATAAAGGTTTAACTCAGGTTTCAATGCACACCCCCCTCCACCATCATCCGAACACTGGGTCCTCAAGCACAGTGGACTGGATGAGCCATGAACAAGTGGTTCATAACAAATGATTTAGTAACACTATAAAAAGGCTATTTTCATATTAATATTGGCATCAGTTTTAGTGTAACTGCATAAAAAGCAGGCAGTCCTTGATTAGACAAAACATTTCCTTTACTCTGAAGCCTCTGTTATAACAGCCCTCGCCTTTAATCACAGTGTGACTGGAACAAAAAGGAAAAAAAAAGAAAAGAAAAAAGGATTAAAATAAGATCCAAGAGATGAGGAGGAATCTCATTCAGCTGGATCCAAGTTCAGATCCTGGAACCTTATCATACACTATCATACACTCTATCCCAACAATATTACGATAAATCAGGAGGGCACTGGTTTAAGATTAAGCTTTAAAGAAAACTTAAAGAGTAAATGATTTTAAGAAATGTAACAAAATAAAAAGTGCACAAAATTCCAAAAAGGTGCTTTGCATTTGAGATGAGGATTTGGGCTCGTGGAAGAGGCAGAGATCAGCTGTTATTTAAGACGTGTGGCACTGAACGCCACCAGTGCTAGCGTAGTCGTCTTCATCCATGTAGTAGTACTGATTTTTGTATCTTTTTCTGTTCTCATAATCACAGTCCTCCAGGTCAGCGTAGATGTACAGGTCATCGTCCATGCTGTCGGGCTGCTCTGCATCCTTCTTCTCTGGAAGGTAGCGCTCCAGCTCTTTCAGCTTATGCTTGGGGAGGAAGTTGGCTTTTGGGAACACCACCTAAAGGAAACAACCATAAACTGTTTAATCACAACAACCATGCCATAGGTAACCATGTAGCTATATGATAATATATATTACTTTCATGTGTATGTGCATAAATGTCAATCTCTTTTTGTTTTTGGTATTTTATTGGTTGCAAAGTATAACAGTTGATTATACACAGACAAATGCAACAGAACATAAATACACGGAGACAAATTTTATATCACAAAGGCCCAGACAGAGAATAAATGGTATGTGAATTGTTAGTGTAAGAGTGGAGCTGAGCAGTTTGGGGGATGCTTGTACAGGTGCTGGTCATATAATTAGAATATCATGAAAAAGTTTGTTTATTTCAGTAATTCCATTCAAAAAGTGAAACTTGTATATTATATTCATTCATTACACACAGACTGATATACACTACTCACAATAAGTTAGGGATATTGTGAGAGACTCAGTGGATTTCATACATACAGTCTTTGTTTCACTTCAGAGATTTCTGGGACAGGGAGGCTATTGTATTGGGGTGATAGACACACCTCATTTTGTGTTTTCCATGTAATGAAATGAATGAATGAAAAAAATACTTTATTCATCCCAGAAGGGAAATTCAATCCTGTAAAAGCTCACCTTTCTTTTTTTTTTTTTAAATCAATATAACATATATTATATACAAGAATAATGGTCTCACTGTGTACAAGTGTGCCTTACATATTGGGGCCAATACCAAAAAACTAAAAGGCCAGCAATGTCCCCTGACCTGAACCCCATAGAGCACGTCTGGGACCAGCTGCAGCAGAGACTGGATGACCGTACTCCACCCCCACGTGACCTGGCAGAACTGTGTGTAGCACTTGTGGAAGAGTGGAACGCATTGCCTCAGAACAACATCATGGGGCTGGTGAGGAGCATGAGACGTCGTTGTCAAGCTGTCAAATGGTGGAAACACCCGCTACTGACGTTGTCAATTTTTGTTATTTGGGGCTATCCTTGTTATTGTTTAAAGTTTGGGGGTAATAAATATTAAACTCATGAAAATGGTGTTTCTTCTCATTCATTATTAGTAATATCAAAGGGAACTTTTACTTATTTCATTAAAATTCAGACCAAATAGGAAAAGCACTCATGTAAATAACAATATCCCTAACTTATTGTGAGTAGTGTATTTCAAATGTCTATTTCTCTTAATTTTGATGATTATACCTGAATACTAATAAAAATCCCAAATTCAGTATCTCAGAAAATTAGAATATTACTTAGGACCGAGAGCTGCAAGGTGGCGCAGTTGGTTAGCACTGTTGCCTCGCAGCAAGAAGGTCGCCGGTTCGCGTCCCGGTGGGGTCACCGGGATCTTTCTGCATGGAGTTTGCAT